ACTTCAAGTCCTGTGCAAAAACGCATGATCGCACGGGCCCGTCCGGTGCGTTCCAGCCTGGGTCTCTTTCTGGTATTCCGTTGGCGCTTCCTTTTGCGCAGTTTTGTGTGATGACACATATATGATTAGTTTCTGTTGTTTTCTTATAAAAATTGTTCAGATCCAGTTTCATCAGATCGTTGGCTGACTATAATGTTTAGTTCTGCACATCTAAGGGGGAAGAATGGTTATTGTACTTGTAAAATAATGTTACGTTCCTCTGAGGTATCTTCATTCAGGAAGCCGTCATACTCTGTTGATGATGAGAAATGTTTGTTGTCTTACACTAATTTATATTTATGCATGAAATACATGGATGAATCGTAATTAATAGTTTGGTTTTCCATTTATGTCTGACTTTTCCCATTGCCAATCATTGTAGTGGCCGTGTACACATCAAAGACATCCAAGAATTTATTTCCTTCGCTAATTCGCGGCTTATTTTCCAAGACTTTTGTATAAGGGGCAGCCTGAAGGTAATTTGAGTCTGCAGTTCGAAAGAAGCCAACTAGAATTAATCTATCAAGGCATTATTTTGCGAGTAACAACTATGAATCGACGGGTATTTTGCAGAAATAGTTCGAGCGAGCTTTTCATCTCACCACTGGAAATTTATTAATGCACGGATGTGTTTAGTAGAAAGAGGCTTACGATTCCATTTGGCATTGTGAGCTGATGCGAATTCAGGTAGCCAAAATTGCTGTTGTAACCAGTTGCATTATGAATTTGCAATTTTCTTTTGTCTTCGAACAAGAAGCAGCGATTATCACCAGTATGCGTCGGTCCACATCTGAAACCTTGACTTGCGAACGCTCCGAACACTCGTCCAGAGGCTGTTTCGATGACGATCAAACATGGGCCAGTGCCATCGATACTCTTCATCAGTTTTGTAAAGCTTTCTCCATCATTTTCACTGAAAGTTAAACCAGACTTAGGAGCACAAGTGAGCACAAATCATTTTGTCGTTATCGTAAGAAAATGAAATGTGTAAAAAAATGAAATATTATTTATTGCGATTCCACACGCGTTCTGCCGAGAGCAAGTCCAGTGCTATATACTATTGAGCTGGAGTCTAATTTGA